TCCTTAAGGGGGTGGGCCAATACTACCACATGGCATATCTCTACCAACTAGAGGCCTAGGAACATGAACGATAGCTCTAGAAGCTTCTACAACCCTCTATGATTCATTACACGTCATCGCTCCTTAGTTACCCACAAGATTGGTTAAGTTATGACATAATTTGTCTATAGGTACTCTGACCTTGGACCTCCTTTTCGCTTCCTATAGGCTAGGAACCCAAGAGATGGTTCTATGGGATTCTCTTACGTTCACTACATGATTAGCAAGCTAGTTGTGGGTCGCACTTGATTTCTAATACATTTACCAAGCCTGGTTAGTCATGGAAAGTCATGGAAAATAAGAGAACTACACTCCTTTGGCATAAATAGGATTGCCCTTTCCTTAAGAAAGGGCAAGCAGGCAATACAGTAAATCGACTAGCACATACTTCTACGTCTTTTCCAAGCTTCCAAGCATTGATCTTGTTATTCTCTGTTTTTGAAAAGTCAGTGAGGTGCTAACCTCTGACTTACCCCTGAGTTCTCAGACTCAACATTTGTTGCAACTTGTCTAAACCACTTCACCACATCATACACCTGATTGCTGCGTTGTGGAATAGTCTAAGCTACAACCCTTTGGCTCTGTTTCCTAAGACAGTGTGTTGTCTTAGTAAATTCATCCCTTCCTTGGGTGGCTAGATTCTCATATCTGGTGCACCCACCATTACACAAGGCGCCTTCGACCAGCTAAAGGAAGCCTTTACCACAGCCCCGACGTTGGTCCATTTCGATCCTAGCCGTAGAATCAGGCTTGAGACCGATTCGTCAGGGTTTGGCCTGGCTGGGAACCTCTCCCAATTAGTAGAAGAGCCAGGCAAGAAGGCTGAGTGGCACCCTGTGGCCTTCTATAGCAAGAAGCTGGAACCAGCTGAGCTCAATTATGAGACCCACAACCAGGAAATGCTAGCGATCGTGAGGTCCTTCGAACAGTGGAGGCATTATTTCGAAGGGAGTCAATACCCTATCGAGGTCCTTACGGACCATAATAACCTCAAGTATTTCATGGAAACCACCGCCCTCACAAGGAGGCAAGCGCGGTGGGCACAGGCGTTATCAGCCTATGATTTCCATATAGCCTATAAGGCTGGAAAGATGAACCCAGCAGACGGGCCGTCAAGTAGCCAGAACGTGATGCTGACTACCAGAATACCCTCCGTAAGGCCATGAAGGCTGTAGGAACCCCACAGGTAAGCGGGGTGACAACGAGCCCACAGGGCCCTCAAGAAGAGGATATCAACCCACAGAGTATGGGCGAAAGCACCAGCAGCGCCAGACTGGACAGAAACCACAATACGGACACCAAGAGTTCAGGTTCTGTTGTCCCTAGTGCCATAGTGACAGCTATGGTGCGGGGAGAGGGTGCCTATAGTGCTGCGACTGAACCTCTGACGGACTTGATCAAAACCCTCCAGGCGGCTGACGAGCTTGCTGTTAAAAGGGCCAAGGACGCAGGAACAGCGCGAGCAGAGGACCCTCGTGGATGGAAAGTAGACGATGCAGGCATCCTACGCTTTAAGGGAGCGGTATACGTACCTCCCAACCAGGCAGTGCGGATGGAAATCTTCAAGATTTGCCATGATGACCCACTGGCCGGGCACTTCGGGTATAAGAAAACCCAAGAGTTGATCCAACGCAAATACTATTGGCCCGGGCTCGCTGAGGAGACCCAGAGGTACGTACAAGGTTGTGATAGATGCCAACGCATCAAGCCTGTAAGACACAGGCCATATGGCGAAATGCAGGCCTTAAGGATGCCCTCAAAACCATTCGAATCCATAAGCATGGACTTCATCACGGATCTGCCCCCAAGCATAGGGGCAGACCAAGGCAAGGCTTCAGACTCCATCCTTGTGATTGTTGATCGTTATACTAAGGTGTCCAAATATATACCCTGTAGGAAAACCATCACAGCCCCAGAGCTGTCGCGGCTATTCCTAGCATTCTGGGTTAAGGACTTTGGAATCCCAGCTGAGATCATAACGGATAGGGTAAGTGTATTCACATGCCACTTCTGGTCAGCTTTCTGTTTCCACCTCAAAGTACGGCGTAACCTATCCACTGCCTTCCACCCTCAATCTGATGGCCAGACTGAGAGGCAAAACCAGAATATCGAAGCCTACCTTCGGCTACACTGTAATCAGCACCAGGACAATTGGGTGGAACTCCTCCACTTCGTGGAGCTTACCTACAACAACGCGTTCCACGACTCCATCCAAATGTCGCCCAACCAGGCCCGGTACGGCATTAACATTGATCTGAGGCAAGGGGTTGAGGACGACCCCACGAGAAGGGAGGTGCCAGTTGCGAAAGACCGTAAACATGATCCTTGAACTACGGCAAGAGCTGGAGAAAGCTTGGAAAAGAACGAAGAAAGCCCAAATAAGAGGCTACAACAAACTGCACAAGCCAATGCAGTATGCAGTAGGAGAGAAAGTAAGACTTTCGGCTAAAAATATCAGAACCACCCAGCCAAGTAGGAAGCTTGGGCACCGCTGGCTTGGCCCGTACAAGATCATCCAGCGGATAGCTAAACAAGCGTACCGGCTGAAGCTTCCACCACGATATAAGGCGATTCATGACGTGTTCCATGTCTCCCTACTCGAGAGGTATTGGGAAGGCGTCGAGAAGGCCGATCCTCCACCTGATCCAGAGATCGTGGATGGGGAAGAAGAATATAAGGTCGAGACAGTCCTAGACCACACGACTGTGTGGAGGGGTAAAGGAACTGGAGAGGAATACCTTATTAGATGGGCTGGTTATACAGCCGCAGACGATCAATGGGTGCCAAAACATGACGTAGGGCTACCGTTAATTGAGGCATATCACAGGAAGCATGCACAAAGAAGCAAGGATGGGACAACGTAATGGTATTGGCCCTACAAACTATGGGAACAATCAATCAGAACCTTGGCCCTCAGATGAGGACTCGGACTCGGACTCAGACTCAGACGAGGTCGACGAAGAAACAGGGATCGCACCCTCATCCCCAGACGACAAGGACTGGACTGAAGAAGGCCCTGAGGGTGCTGGCAGTGGGGTGTTGAACTTCCACTTGCTAGGCTTCACAACTAGGCGCTCTAACAGAGCACGCTCTAGATCGATGGGCGAGGTCATGACGAGAGGAGCTGGCATCACTAGGTGCGGGGCTCCACCTACCCATAGGGTTAGCAAGTATCCAAAGGAGAAGGAGGCAACGTACCTATGAGGAACTTCATGGTGTCGACGTACTCCTCGAGCCCAGATTGGTAGGCATCAAGGACCTTGTCGACAGAAGCGTGGAAGACCTGAGTGGCGGCCTTGAGACCTTCAGTCTTCGCCTTGCTCAGCTCCACAAGGATCTCGGTGTGATGAAGGAAAGCCTGGCGAGGATCGTCAACATTACGCGCGACGGCCTCAGAAGGCCCAGCGACTTCCTCCTTGGGAGGTGCAGCGACTCCCTTATCCTTGGCCGGCTTGGCGGCACCCTTCTTCTTCTTGGGGTAGCCTCGGAATCGGCAGCAAGGCCAGCATCTTCGTCGTCGGCCCAACAGTTCAGGAGAGCATCAGCCGCAAGCTGGAGGGCCTCCAACTCGGCGCCAAGCTGGGCAGTAGCCTACCCAACCATTAGTACAAACAAGCAACGAGGAGGGAGTCCCTTACCAGAATGCACGCGTGGTTGCCCCGAAGGCAGTCCGCGCATTTGGCCATGCCAGAAGGGACCCAGCACATCTGGCCTGGGAAGTTGTAATACGTGTGCGCACACTTCACGCAGCACGGGCGGGAGCCAGCGCGAAGGCGTCCTGCAGACTCAGGAACCTCACAGCGGGCAGCAACCTTCCACCCAAGCACGGTGCGCTCATCCTTTAGAGCCTCTGGCTCAGGAACGATGGAGCCCTCAGGCTCCTCAGCAGCGTTCTCGACTTCAGGCGAGCCATACGGACAGACAGTGCGAGAACGTGATGGGGAGGAGGCGACACCAGAAGGAACAGGCGTGACTGGCGCCTCGGATTCAGGAGAGCCTGCCATCTGGTCAGCTGCCCTCTTGCATGGAGTAGCCACAGGATTCTTCTTGTGAGGCATTGCGGAAGCTGAGCAAACCAGAAGATCTACTCCCACGAGTTAGCCACCGAAGAAGGAAAGGAAGGAGTGCAAATACCTTTGTGAAGGAGCAAGGCGATGGAGGAGCGAGACCCAGAAGGTGTAGTCAAGCGGTGTGAGGTTGAAGGTGAAGGTGGAGAGAAGTTCGATAGGAAGTAGGAAGTAGGAAGTAGGAATTGACGCGGCACCACAACAAAGGGGAGTGGCCGCAGCAACCAACAACAAGGGGGGTCACAGGACCACCCCGCCTAGCGACCACCCCAAGGATTAGGGCAAACAGCCCAAACAAAGGCAGAAGGCCATACTCATTGCCGCCTCAGAATTGAGGACAATCCCGCAGAAGGGGAGGCAATTGTAAGGCGGCCCATCACGTGAGGCCACCCTGAACCCAGGGGCTGCCCAGCAGTGGGGCCACTAGGGCTCGGTAAACCAGGGCATGTCGGAATGTAGGATATAAGGAGCTGGAAGCCTCAGAAGGAGGCCTCCAGTCAATAGTTGCTGTATCTACGTAGACCTATTGTGCTTACAGAATACAATACCTTCCTGCCTCCTGACCTGGTTCCCTGGACTCCCATGAGACCCTTAGGCTTACGATCCTTACATTAGATCAAGAGTCACGGGTGCAGAGTACGTTAGATAGTTGGATTACATAAGAATCAATATAGCGATATTATCATTATAACGATATATTCTGCTGGCAGCAAATGCATCGTTATAACGGTGCTTTACTGTACCATAAGAGTAATTGCCGCTAATAACCATCATGTACGAGTACGTAGTCCCACAAGTCGATGCTGCCCCGTTTCGTAGGCGGTAAGATGCAGCAGAAATAAATTCGTTATCGTGGTGCTGACCAATAATCCCCCCAAACACACAAACAACAACACACAACAACACACAACACACACACAACAACATAATCAACAACAGTTCTCGATGCAGGATGGGATTTGCTGCAAAACGCTCTCATGCTGAATTTCGTTGTGATACTGTAAGCATGTCTCAATACATTATGTTCTGTATATTAATTTTCGCAGGCGAACTGTCAGACGTTGTTTAGTTACCCTTCGCCAGCACCAACAACACTCTTTTCGGACCCTCCACCCTCCATACCATCTCGAACGCGATCATTCCGTACTGAAAGCGGTGATAAAGATTCCACATACGAGCAAAAGGTTAGATCTTGGCAGGCAAAGGAACAATTCCACACAAGCAGGAGGAGGGAGAAATCGCCTTTGCCGCTCCTTCGTCGATCTGCTTCATTGCCAACCCTTTCCGAGTTACGATCTTTACCCCTAATTGCGCCCCTTACCCAGCAGAACCTCCTCTCCGCAGAAGGTGAAATGGACCCGAGGCTCGCCGGCGCACCCGCAACCCCGCAAAAGTCTGTCTCCTCGATTTCCCAAACTTACGACACCCCGTCCCAAGCCTCTCATGCTTCCAGCTCCGTGGATGTCGGCGCGAAGTTGGAAATCATCAACATATTCGGGCACGAAACCAGCACCCCCATTCTGCAGAAATTGCCCGATTTCAAAGCCGAAGTCCTTTCAGTTGTCAGTGGAGAGCGTCTGTCAGCGATGAAACCTCAATCAGCTAAGAGATTCCGAAGTGATTTCAATGACGTCAAATCCCGAAACGAGGCAACGCTCCACGACCGCATGATGCCGCATATGATCAAGTCCGGGAGGACAGTGTCGGGGGGAGAGAACGCAGATGAACTTTATAAAGAGTTCCGGGAAGATGGGCTGGATCGGAATATTGATGCGGATTTCAGTGCTGGGTGCGTCCCTATCCCTCCCTGCCATGCCTTCGAAAAGAATCTCGAGCGGCTTTTTGGGGTCAAGAACCCAAAACCGGATTTCACATTTGGCTTCAACCCTTCGACTTTCACGAAAGACGAGCAATTATTACTCCAGCGATACGACACCTCATACGCGCTGTCTAAAGGCATTATATCACCATTTTTCATTATGGAATGGAAAGGCTCCCGAGGCACGATGCAGGATTGCTCCGTGCAAGCCCGTCGGGGTGGAGCAGCAATTGTCAACGCCAGACGGCAGATCCGCGCCTCCACAATCCCCGATTACGATTACTTCACTCCCGATCTCGCTACAATCGCTTTCTCTTGCGCAATGACCTCGGAAATCGCATACATTGCCGTACACTGGTGCCAGCGTATCGCTGATAATGATTACTGGTATATGGCTGTGGCGAAGAGATTTTTCCTGGCAGAAGATGACGACATTCAGAGGCTAAGGCTGTGTCTGCATAATATTATTGATTGGGGTCTGTCGGAAAGGCGAAATTCTATAAAGGAGGAGCTGAGGGCTTTGGATGAGAGGTGGCAGATTGCAAGATCACGGGATTTAGAGACGCAACAAGGATCGGTTTCCAAGAGAAGGAGGAAAGAATGAAATGATTGCTTCAGGGCCTTATTGTCGTGCAAGAATAGGTTGGTTTAGCTAACTAAGCCTTAGTCACGATGAGCTTACATATTGATTGTCTCATACCCCTTCAGTTAGTCATGCATAAAAGGGATGTGATAAATTAATCGACGAGTGGCGGCGGGTGGGCCATTGGCGAACGGTTTAGTCGACTGGCAAATGTTCGTATTGGCGGATAGCTTAGGCCATTCACCAATGGACTGGACCATTGGCCAACCTGGAATGGAGCATATTGGTGGGTAGACGGGAACATATATACGGAAAATGACCAAACTGCCACCCAAATTATTCGAAATGACTGAAGTGCCACCTAAAACATGAAAAATGGCTGACATGCCACCCAAATTTATACCCGATCGCCTATGTGGTATCCAGAAGTGTTCTAACAGAGTTCATTGATACACCTTTGATATGTTTACTGGATTTTGTATCTGCCTTTGTCATCGAGCTACAACTACTGAGCGTCAAGCTGGCTGTCGTGGTGGTTCTCACACAAGTAACCACTTGTTCTAGCCAATCCAGGAACAGGCCTATTCATCAGTGGGACTCATTTACGTGGACCCGCGCGGCCCGCACGGTATCCCGGACCTAGTTCCTGCGCGCCTTTGCTCGCGTTGCTGCGCAAAGCGAAATTCGGGTCTCTCCATTGGCTGCACGGGCCGGCAGTGCGGTACAAGTTGAGAAATTCGAAGATTCTGTGCGCTCATTGGCTCTATCATCTACCTCGAGAAGCAGCCAGCCAGACACGCAACCTGCAACGGACTTTATATGACGAAAAAGATGCTCCTCGACGCGACGAATTATATAAAGCAATCGCTGGGTTGATAGCTCTAAAACTTGCGGAGTTATGTACGATTTAAGTTCTGTAGGTCAGATTTTGCAGCAACCAAGCCGGCTTGCAACGACCACACAACCCCACACACACACACCAAGTCGTCTCTCCGGGTCTCCAATATGGGGCTGGTAAACCAGACCTCCCCTGCTGATCGTAACCCAGTTACGACCATCAGGGATATGATGATAAATAATCGAACTAAGTCTGTAATGAGCTATTTAGCGAGTGATCCATGGCTCCATGGACCAGAACGGCAGGTCCAAGGTACGTCATGTGGATGAAGTGTTTCTATGGTACGTATCCAATTAGAGCACAGAAAAGTTCCACAGCCATGGTGCCATTGTTGGCCAGTTCGACATCCCATCTTGTTATTTAAATGATTGCGTCGATTTTCCCGTTCGTCTCGTACACACAGGTGTATTCAATGGATCCAACGCCAGATGTCTTCAAGTAGAAAACCTCATCAGATACGGCGAGTATGTGGGTGGTATGATGGAGCAAACTGTTTCCGATATAGAGACGAATATGTTCAACCCAAAATGCTCGCGCGTATCAGATTCCGCAGACTTGCGCATATTTCAATCAGATCTTTTATTGACGCTCATATTAAATGGACTATGACGAGGATATCGCCTTCCCCCGTTTAGGTGGACGTCAACCTAGGGAGATTGCTCCATAATAGCTTACAAAAATAAAACAGGGTATGCATTTTCCTGCATAGTACCGTATTTTGCGCAGTCCTGCACGGCGAAAGAATCAGCAGGTGCTTATTGTCAGCCATGACCATGGCGGCACAACTAGCAGCTTCACAGCATATTTTGAAGCCGGAAGCTAGGGAGTTTTATAGTTTATGTTGCCAAGGATATTGTGTTTTTGCATGCCCCGAGTTGGCAAATGTATAGGCAAGGAGGCAAGATTGTTGCCGCATTGTTTACTCGCCGTTGCTGGCTGGGCAGAGGACAGACAAAGGGAGTAATCTAAATATCTCTACAATATTTTAATCAGAATGTCACTGAGAACTCTAATATTGCAATTGATTTAGTCTATTCAGAAGTGGTCACACAATACAACTGATACATACATATAGGAATTTTCGATGGACTGACAATTTCATAATCAATTCAATTCAAAATACCAATGGCTTGTCTCGTCAGGGGTACACGTTCGTTAGTTAGAGTGCCAAGCCCATGAGTCGCGTTGGCGTTTGACAAATCAATCCGGAACTTGTCAGAAGTCGCAAGCGAAAGCGAGGAACAAAGTTCAGTACGGAGTACTGGGCTACGAGAATAGCGTCGTATTGGTTTCCTGTTATTTCTAGATATGATTGCCGTCAAACTTGCCATGTTAGGCGTGCTCATTCCTTGTTTTTAAGCGCCCAGGTTTTCTGAATTGGCACTTCTAATTATACGTTTCACTAGTTAGAAATCCAGAATGTCTATTCATATACGGCGCTTAGCAGTGTATACAAATAGAGGCGTAGGAAGCCCTCTGCAGCTTTATAGGTAAATGAAGAGGTGCCTAGCTATGGAGTACAATGCCCGTAACTCCCCCACAATAATGAGCAATATGTCGGATATGGGGGACTTCCTCGAAGCCTGCACACTACTTGGTCCAATGCTGGAGACAGAAGAGCCAAACTATGCTTCGTTTGTAGAGATATATCCAGAGGATGAAAATGGATTCATTGCGACAGACTCGCCTTAAATTTACCTCGATGATTCTCAGAATACGAGCTACAGTGTAGGTTTGGACCCGCCTCATGGCACTGTAGGAAATTTCGGGTCGCCTTATGAGGTTACTCAAGCTAGCTCTACGGTCTACTGCAGCAGCTGCAACGAGTTTTCTGATATGAAAAGGTAACTAAGCCACCTTCTAGTTTATATATGCTAATCCTGTCAGGGATATCGCTGAAATACTTTCGGAGCTGAAGACTTTGAGAACTGCGCTGCATCACCTCTCGTATGATGTGAGCCTAGTAACAGAAAAATTAGCGGAGAGAGATGAGAAGGATGAGAAGGATAAGAGGGCCAAGCAGGTTGCATAACTAAAGCCCTGGGTGTTCTCTGCTAGTGCTTACTGTAATCAAATGCACATTCATTTCCTCCTGATTATTGCACACCTTCCTGTTTTGGTTGGAATTCATGTAAATGCAGCTTAACGAAGAACGATGCCCAACTTCCAAAAAGTGCAACTTCATTCAACATGATGCATCCCTTGCACCACAATGGAACACCACGGAAAGAGATTTCGCGCACAGTTCTTGTCTTGGGAGGCCAACACATCTTTGGACTCAAAGGACCCGACAGTCCGGCGCTTAACAATTATCAAATAGAAATTGTAAACTGAGTGCTCGCATATTAAAAAAAATATCAACAAATACTCACCAACGAGCATCTCTTGAATCCTAGCCGTGCTAGTCATGTTGTGGAGATTCTCAAGCTCATTTGAGGCATTGATTCTCTTCCTCCTTGTTCTTACTGGGCACTTCAACAACTGCGCTTAAAGCCAATAATTCTAAGCTTTGAGCTGGCCTTTATTGTGACTCGCTGTTTCGTCTAGAAGCATTACCGAGATGGTGTGTACATTCTATTCGGCGCTGATACAGGGGTGTAAGCAGCTTGGACCTAGCAATACCCTCGCTCTACTGTCAAGTTTGACTTTCTGTTGCGTTACCAGGTCTTGGTCTCTTCGGCTCAGAATATCAGCCTTCTGATTATTCTTGCCTGTGGTGTATGTGATGCAGAAATTGAAGTCGGAGAGTAGCTCCATCCACTGAACCTGTTTCGCTGTGACCTGTTTCGCTGTGAGAATCTTGATAGACATGAAATATTCCAACGAACGGTGATCAGTGTAGATGTCAACTCGGTGGCGTACCGAAGCCAACTCGGGCCTCCATTTTCCAAAGGCTTTCACGATTGCGAATAGTTCCTTGTCGTGGATCTCCCAGTTGATCTCATGTCTGGATAGGACGTGACTGTAGAAGCTTACGGGGTACCATCACTTGTCAGGGTGTTCCTGGGACAGGACACCAGCTACCACTCCATCAGAGGAGTCGGTCTCCAGCTTCGTAGGCAATTCGGGGTTGAAGTGGTGAAGTGCCTGTACCGCTAAAAGTTGTCGTCGCAATTCCTCGAACGCATCCTCACATTCGTCTGTCCACTGGAACGGCTCCGAGGGACTAGTGATGGTGGTGAGGGGCTATGCTATTTTGCCAAAATTACGAATGAATTGTCTATAGAAACCACAGAATCCCAGGTAGGACTTCACACCCGTAACAGTGGTCGGTCGGATCCAGTTACGAAGGGGTTCAATTTTGTCAGGGTCCGCTTCGACACCGGAGGTAGTGAGAACATAACCCAAGTATTTTGTCCTGGTGACGTTGAACTCGCATTTGTTCAAATCGGCTTGGAGTCCAGCTTCTCGGAGACGCTGTAGGACCTTATGCACATGCTCTATGTGTTCCGTAGGGTCCTCTGAATAGATTAGGATGTCATCTAGGTATGCGGTACAGAAGTCGTCTAAGTATTGCATCAGGACATCATTCATATACCGCTGATAGGTTGCGGGACCGTTCGTCAGTCCAAATGGCAGCACTTTGCACTTATAGGATCCATAGCGAGTCCGAAAGGTCGTGTACTCTTCCGAGTCGGGGTGCATCCGTATACGATGGAAGGCTTGTCTGATATCTAGCTCCGTGAAGATTTTTGCTTTTGACACCCGTCCTAGTAGTTCGTCGATACGCGGGATGGGGTAGGGATTATTCCGGGTGAGACCATTTAACTTCCGGTAATCGATGCAAAATCTTAATTTGCCATCCGCTTTCTTTACAAATAGCATAGGGGACACGAAAGGGCTGTTGCTGTTGACGATGAATCCCTTTTCCAGGTTTTCCAGCAGGTATTGCTTGGTAGCCTTAAGCTCTTCGGTGCCCTGTTGATATAATGGGGAGAAAGCGTTTGGTAAAGGGGCTTCGAGCTGTATCTTGTGGTCGTATATGCGGTGGGGTGTAACGCTGACTTCTAAACGATAGAAGACACAGAGGTTCTCTTGCGTAAAGGTTTACTTATCAGAGGAGGCAGGGGATCAGACACAAAGGCTTCAAGTAACACGTTACTAGTATATAACAAATACTGTATTGAGTTGAGCACGAAGCTCCTATCTAAGGAAATACTATCTACTTATATAGTGGCGTCGTGCCTAGTGGACTCTTGGGAACTCACTCGAGTCCTCAGAGTCCTGGACTCTTAGGACTCTTCTCATCATCCTGCGAGTCCATCACGTGCCTAGTGGACTCCTGGGAACTCACTCGAGTCCTCGGAGTCCTGGACTCTTAGGACTCTTCTCATCATCCTGCGAGTCCGTCACGTGATACTTTCGGAACTACTATTCCCCGCTGCCCCTCCAGGTACCAGGGCCGGTCTCATGCGACCTCCCTCCTTCCTGTCCTGT